GGTGGGGGTGGAGATGTTGGGGCTGCTGCGGGGAGCCTTCACATTCGTACTGTACGAGAGCAAAACGGTGAGGTACCGCTGTGTCGCCCTGAGGGGGCTGGAGCAGTGCAGCCCGGGTGGGGTGTGCTGTTGTGTTGGAGGTTGCTACTGCCCCCCGGGCGGCCCCAGCTCCACCTGCCCGGCATGGCGCCCTCCTGTTCCCCTCCTGTCCCCCCCTGGCTCCCGTTGGGTCCCCTGGTGGGGGGTTTTGCTCAAATAGGAACTCGGAACGTGTGCGGTGTTTCCTTTCCTCCGTGGCTTACAGGCGTTTAGGTATTGCCCTTGGGCCTTCGGCTCATATGAGTAGTTTTACAGGTATGGGGTCACGCACCCCCCAACCATGTAATACACACATATATCTTTTGACCATTGCCCACCATCCACATAAACCACCCACCCAACTACCTACCTAACCACCCACCCAACTACCCACCTAACCACCCAGTTGGGCATTGCGCCAGCCGTAATGACCACACGCACTCCTCCCGCGGCTGTCTCCCCACTGAACCCGCCGCCCTCCCACCCCTCTCCGGTGTCGCCATCACCCGTACTGCCCCCAGAGCCGGGTGCTGGCTGCACGTGACGGCAGCGGCAAGGGCCCGCTGTTCCAGGCGCGCAGCGGTTCCAGCGGCGGCCTGGTGCTGACCAACAGCGTCGAGCTGTTGGAGGCTAGTGGCTGCACTGATAAGCTGGAGTTCCTGCCGGGTGAGTGAGGGGGGGAGGGACTGGAGGGAGGGGGGGGAGGGGGGGAGGGACTGGAGATGTAAGGAGTGCGGAAATAACGAGCTGATGGCCGTTCTAATGCTATCGGTGTTAATACCTTTCCTGGAGCTCTGCAGTATATGAGCTGTGTTCATACTACAGAGGTTTTGAAGCAACGGAGCCCAATTGGATAGCATGCGAGGAACGAGGGAAAGTTGTACGACACACCAATGCTCTCTAAAGCACCACTATGTGGTTTGTCCAGTGGTACCACTATGTGCCACTCGACAGACAGACAGACAGACAGACAGACAGACAGATACACTTACATGTATCCTCTTGTTCATCCTCCCCGTGTGTTCCTCCCCTGTGTACCCGCGTACCTCCGTAAGGCCCACTCCCCCACCCGCCTCCCCCACCTGACCTGCAGGAGATTACAAGTACGGCTGGTCCGCCACCCCCCGCCGCTACCAGCCGTCCGACCACGTCCGCCTCTCCCGCCGCTCCGTAGACCTCCCCGCCTCGGCCCACCACCACCACCACCACCACCATCACCATTATCACCACCAGCAGGGCAACGGTAAAGGTAACGGTAACGGTAACGGTCACATCCATGGTGCAAACGGTAACGGTGGAGGTGCCACCCCCCAGGGCGGCAACAGCCGTAACGGCTCCCGCCGCAACAGCCTGGACCTCCAACACCACCAGAACAACAACAACAACAAAGGCCATCAGCACCCGCAGGACAACAGCCCCTCCGCAACCGCTACCGTCCAGGACCGCAACGGAGCCGACGGCCGCCACCACAACCGCGGCCACCCCCCACAGCAGCCGCCAGCGGGAGGGGCGACCGGTGCCGGCACTGCCCCGCTCTCCCCGCAGCAGCAGCCAGCTCCTCAGCCAGCAGCCGCCAGCTCTCACCCCCACCGCACATACGTCGTGAGTGCCGAGGACCCCCGTATCCTCAAGGCCTCGGCCGCCCGCCACCAACAGCAACAGCAGCAGCAACCAAAGCTCGGTGATGCGGCCCCTGTCGCCGCCGCAGCGGGTGTGTGGATGGCTTCTGCTCGCGCACCTGCAGCAGCTGTCGCGGCAGCTAGTGGCGGCGGCGGCCGGTCCAAGGACAAGGTCCCGGGTCAGGGGGGTCAGGGGCCGGAGGGCGGCAATGGACGCGGCGGCAGCGCCCGGGGGGCGTCCGCGGGGCATCACAACCAGCGGCGCAGTATGGACAGCCACGGGGCCTGGCGGCTGGGCTCCGGGCAGTCCGAACCCGCTACCTCACCTGGACCCATTGCCGCTGCGGCGGGGGCGGTCGGGAGGCCGCAGGCGGGGCGGGGCAGCAGGGAGGGGCGGCACGGGGGGGAGCAGCAGCCGCAGCAGGTTGTGGCCAAAGAGGGCTCTCTGGGGGCTCAGAAGCACCCAGCGCCGAAAGCTGATGTTGCCAAGCAGCAGCAGCAGCAGCAGCAGCAGCAGGGGGCAGTCACACCAAGTAACGGGAGGTCAAGGGGGCGGTCGAGCATTGACGGCCACAATGTGCCTGGAAAGCAGCAGCAGCAGCAAAGGAAGCAGCTGCAGCAGCGCACAAGTGCAAACGGGCAGGCGGCCAAGGCGGACGCCGCACCCACGTCGCCGCCAATCAAAGTCAACAGTCAGGGGCGGGCGGGTTCGGTATTGCGTGTGGACGCGGCTGAGTTCGTGTGCAACCAGACGGCGGCGGCGGGGGCTCCGGTGTTGGGGCCTCTGGCGGTGGTCAGTGCACCCTAGGAGGGGATGACGGTGAGGGGAACCGTCATCATCCCGATGTTCGTTAAAACCACAACCGCCATAACCCCACAACCGCCATGAGACGGGGAACGAAGTGGTCCATGGCGGTAATGGCAGGTAGGTGAGTAGGGGGGGAGGGCGAGGGGGAGCGAGCAACCCAGACGAGGGCTTCAGATGTCTGAGGTTGGTCCGACACGGTGGGGAAGGGGAGGGGGAGGGGAAGGGGAGGAGGAGAGGACGCTTGGTTCATAGCATCGCCTTGTATTGCTGCCACTGCCAGTGAGTGGTGCGAGTGGGATCGAATCGGAGTTTGGTCATGCTCAGTATTGCTCCATCCCTATTGTACGACAATGGTATACTGGGGGCCCTACATCTACCTCTACCCCTACCTGGTCGAAAGGGGCGCTGGGAAGCTCTCGTTGTGTATTGTAGGGGGTTCTCTTTGACGACTCGAGGGCTTATAAACTCTCTTTTGTGAAAGAGGCTAGGCGCGGGGTGCGCATGTATGTATGTGAGGTATTCTAGTCCAGTGCATAATGATGATGGTGAGGAGGAGGAGGAGGAGGAGGCGGTAGCCCTTTTTGTTGGTTGGATGTTGAGCCGGGTTGAGCCGTTGTGTATTCCGGACGTACGAGTGTATGTGTATGATTGGCCGTGTGATTACACGGATGCACAGATAGACAGACAGACAGACAGACAAGAAAAAGGGGGTCATGGTTATTGTATTGTGTTGTCTGTGAGGCACCTGGGGGCCTCTTTCGTATCTATATGTGGCTGGTGCGCTGCAGGGTTCGGGGGGTTTGGGGATCATATGGTTTGATGAGGTCCTTCCCTGGAGTCAATTTTGTGACAAGATGTTGGTAAAAGATAAGCTTGTTCTGGTTGTCTATTACCCGAAAAGGGTGTTGTTGGTGGGACCACGTTTGGTGCAAGGGCCTGGAAGGTGAAGAGGGAGTACATTTTTGTATATGCCAGTTTTGCTTGTGCAGTGGATCCGTTTTAATACAAGGTGCATCGTATGCCTTGTCTGTTTGATATAGTGCGTTTAGAAATATCTTCGAGTGCGATTCTCAACGCAAACGAAGCGAACATCAATAGCTCTTGTTTGGCTGCTTTGCGGCCATATCCGCTTCGATTATGGAAAGTGATTTCTGCCTGAAGGACCTTAGGACCGCCGCTTATTGCGTTCACTTTCCCCGGGTGTAAAGTAGGACCAAAGAGCACTTCCGCAATGTTCAACGTGAAGTTGTTAAGCTGTGCAAAGGGTGTGGTTGCGGCGGAGAGGCTGTACTACTAAGTGAGCATAAAACCTCCTTCCCTCCGCATAGTTTCCTTGATGCATAGATGACGCCGGCGTGGGGTGGCGCGGGCGGGTTAGCTGCTGCCGCATTCCTGTGAGAAGGGAATGTCGTACCGTTTGAGGACCTAGGCCGACATTTTGGTCTGGTGAATCTGTTGTATCGATCATTCTGTTATCTGGATGTTGTAGATTTGAGATTTAGCCAAAAGGCAGCACTTATTTGGCCCGAAAGGAAGTGTGCATTATCTTGTAAACACACGGTCTTACGACAAGAGTGAGAGCATCGCAGTTGAGTAGCGAAACTAAGACCGGTTACTAACAGTTAACTGCTTGCTTGTTTAGAATAAGGAAAGCCTTTTTTGATTACACATGACTTGATGATTGACGTAATCTTCTCAACACATGTGGTAATCGTCATTTGACATACGTAGTGATTAGCACGAGAGCCGCAGTTTCCATTCCTCGTTGCTGAAAATCTCTGCAGCAAGGTACTCGAATAATAAAATGTTTTCAATAATAACTTCCGATTGCATCTCACAACCATCCTGCTCGAGATCAGAGCTTGCCGATAAGACGAAAACATGTACTGGATGAGAGATCGCATCCTGGCCATCGCCCATCATGAACACTTGCCCAAAGCACCGTAAAACTATCACCGTCAACGTCCGCATACAGTGTAAGGGATTTGTGTTGTCTCACCAAACGCGACCAGCTCGCCTTTTCTGACGACTACAATCTCGTCAACCTCGTCAGGCTACGACCCTCAGCACCAACGAAAAAGCCCATTTTACCTTTACCCGCAACGTCTTTTTTCCAAAACCAGGCGCCCCACGACATGGAGCAACGAAACCCGACAACTGACCACCGGCAGACATGGGAAGGGAAGGGAAGCCCCATCATGAGCATTACGTCCCCCACCCGCCCTGCCGCATCTTCACTGCCGCGTAAGAGACAAAGAGGCATCCATACAACATGAAGGCATGTGCGTGCAACCCTACCCAACCCAATCCAGCCCCGCGTCAGTGAAAGCGCACGCCTGCGGGTGTAGCTAGTAGGCAAGCACGTGAACACAAGGTATAGCGCCCCAACAGACAGAAACATCAAGCGCCCGTCACCGCCGTTAAACATCAAGCGCCCGTCACCGCCGTTAAACATCAAGCGCCCGTCACCGCCGTTGTGTTAACAGAGGATCATTTCACGCCCCTGGCCCCAACGGCACAATGTCCCTGCACACTGAGCTTTGCCGCACATGCGGCCCAAAAGTCACCGAATTCGTCATTCCCGTCGCCGCTGGCACCCCACCAGCTGCCGTACAGCCGCTTCCCTCCGCGGCGTCCCGCACTGGCACAACAAGTTCGTACGGCGCCGAGTACGGCACCCCCTCAGGGCCCAGCAGCACATGCACCATGGGTACACGGCCATCAAAGATGCAGTGCTGCAGTACACCGCACATCCAGGCGCACGGGCCTGCACCCGCTGCGTCAGCTACCCCGCCCACGTCACCACCATTCGACCCATCCAGCTCAACCCGCCCCGCCTCCCCGACGGCTACACAGCCTGGGCGCTCCTCAGTCCGCCGCTGCAGCTGTGGAAGCCTCCCAACACCAACACCGCTGCTGCACACGACGTTAGAGGTTGGGGGCGGCAAACGGCACATGAGCTTGTCCCCATGGGACAGGTAGGGGAAGAGGCAATCCGCAGTGGCAATGATGGCCTGGCCCTCTGCCCCCGTGCCGTCCACGTCCAGTCGCACCGAGTACAACAGCGGCTCACTACGGCGGTCGATGGCGCTGATACGTCCCGTCTGAACCTGTCCGGGACCTAGCCACCACCAAACCCTCTGGTGCAACAGCATCCGCCGGTCAGCGGCCACGTAGCCCCCCCACCGACTCGGAGTGGACACCACACCCCCAGCGGCTCCACCAGCCGGGTCAGTCCCCACCAGCGCAGCGGGCCCCCCAGCAAGGTCCGCAGCTCCATGATGGCGATGCGGGGGGAAAGCTGGTGAGTCCGTTATCACGGGGGGGTCCGTCCCCGCGGGGTGTCCTTCCGCGGGGCCGGTGAGGATCGCCACGGCAGTGTCAGCCCCGGGACCTCCCCCCGCGGGGACGGCGGCAGGTACCGGGTCAGCGAGGTCGTGGGACTTGCGCACCACGCAAGGACCAGGTGAGCATCCCTGGGCTCCAAGACCTGCGGCGATGGACGCACCCCGGTCGGGCGCTGTTCGGGACAGGTCCCAGGGCGCCAGGCGGCTGCCTCGCGTACCAGCACCATCGGAGCTGCCGCAATGCCGTGGTGACATAGCGTGAAGCTGCTGCTGCTGCTGTTGTTGTTGGTGGTGGTGGTTCTGCATGGGGCTGTTGTCTGATATGCCGCTTCCTTCCTGATTGTGACAGCGTTGATGAACCTTGGTATGGTTGCGATGACCGACTGAACGACCCGACACTGACACCGACAGATCCGGATGTGAACCCGAGTACTGGTCCGAACCGGACTCCAGGCCGCTGCCGCCACTGCAGCCACTGCCCGGCTGGACATGCAGCTGCTCCCGCCGTAACACTGGTGACTTCTGAGACAGGCACTTGGTGAGTGCCTGAGTACCCTCCAGCCTTGCACCTGATGCCGGTGGCCAGGAGCCATATCGTCCACAACCCACCCCGCGTGTTCTCTCGCCGCTATGATGGCTGTCCCCGACGCTGTGATCCCCTCCCACGCCGGAGCGCTCCCGGCGTCCGAGGCCATCACGACCCGCAGCAGCGGCGGAGGTCGGCAAGCGGCCGCGGAAGTCTAAATCCAGAACCTCCATTACCGCATCGTCCCCAGGCGGGGCGGCAGAAAGGGCCCGGGCTGTTTCCGCCGGGTCACTGGCGGTGGCGGCGGCGGCGACGCACTCCCCTCCCTCCTCCCGAACACATGCTGTGCAGCAAGAAGCCGCCGAGGCGGGGCGCTCCGGGTGGGAGTGCGACTGCGCCCTCCCTTCCCTGCAGGTGTCGCTAAACCCACTTCCCCCGCCGCTGCATCCATCCCCGTCCATGACTACGGCCATTGCATCAGGCTCTCCCTCCCCCAGTCCCTCCGGAGCCCTAGGGGCGCTCTTTCCAGTTCGTCGCTCCAGCCCGCCAGCCAAGCGGCTCGAGGGCACCTGCCCTGGAGCTGGCGGCACCGCAGCGCCGCCCTCACTAGCCGCCCGGGACCGCTTCATCTGCGGCTGAGACGAGTCCATTGCGCCCGCCAGAGAAGGCGTGCGAGCATGCTTCGCAGGCGAGCAGGAGAGCAGCAGCTGCCCACCGGATTCCCCCCGCCCCAAGCCTCCGCCCAGCGCGGCCTCCAACACCAAGGGAGGCATCAGGGCGTCAGGGCGCGCTGCTACCGGGATGGCGCTGGTGGGAGCCAGCGCCGGAGCTTCACTATCCGCCGCCGAAGAGCAGGGACTGCTGGCAGGGGCCGCTGGTCCCCGCGCCATAGCCGCTGCCACGGCCCTTGCCTCCTGAACATCCTCACAGTCCAGGATAGGCCCGCCACTCGCGGCCACTGCAGTCCGGGCAGCTGTTGGTAGATGGGACAACACAGGGGCGGCGCCGGGAAGCGAATGTGTCCACGGTTCCGACGCTAGCGTGCTGAAGGGTGAGTGAGTCGACACGGGTGCCCGGGTTGTTACGGTTCTGGGCCACTTGCCGGTGGTCAGAGGCGTGAGCATCAGGCCACCGGAACAGTAAATGGAGCCGCCGTTTTGAAGTGGGCTGCCCGGCTGGTGCAGTTGCTGCGAAGCCGACAACCGCTCCGCCACTGATGGCAGAACCTGTGTTGGCGCCGACAGAGCGGGACCATGCGTGGAGACATCGCGCGCTAGCGGCTCGCCAGCCACAGTCCCCACTGCGATGCCCAGCTCCCGGCGGCGGCGCTCGTCCTCAGCGGATTGAATGCTGGCCGCCATGGCAGCTGCAATCTGGCGCTGGAAGTCATCGTCGTCCTCGTCCACGGGAAACAGAACCGGCGAGCGTCGGCCGGCGCTCAAAGTGCTTCTGCCCCAGGTCGCCGCCTTGCCTGCCGCCAAAAGCGCGTCCCAACCAGATGTGTCGGTCCTGGGGACTTCCTCATGGGCACCTGAGCAGAACGAAAAACACGGTTGCGTGGCGGCGCTCGTACGTCATACGGTTACACGCGGCGAACGGTTGGGACCACGGGAGAAGGATAACGTCTGGTGAATGTCCAGGAGCAGGGCCCTACGGTGTTCATACATGGGCACGATATATTCCATTTTCACATACCTCCTAGGTCCATTTCCAGACTCGCGGCAATTGCTCTAGCCAAATCAGCTTGGAACTCGACGTCATCATCATTATCCAAAGTTATGGCGCTCATATTTGATCGATGCGCCAATGACCGTCTTACACACTCTGCAAAAAGGAATTCCATGCGGACGTAAAATGTGGCTTAATGCTCATCTTGGGCGCGGTCTCCGTGCTGTGACATCCAAAGCAAAGCATTTGCGACGGCGGCGGGGCTTCTTGAAACCTGTGCTCCAATGACATCGCTGCGTCGAAAATTAACGAACAAGGCATGAATATCGGGCAACTGTATGCTGTACCCAAATGTTTGACCCTTCGCCGCTTTTAGGCGCGCAAGATTCCGCATTTCCTCATGTAACGCAGCAATCCCCCGATGGAGCATAACCAATTTATCGTGACGCCACCTAGGTACTTACATTCCTGGTGTGGAAGAGCTGCGACAACTTGATCAAGTGGCCATCCAAGGGCTATTGTTCGAGGCGAAAGCCTTTGGTAAGGTTATTCAGGTTCTGTGTATTTAAGAAGTACCACAAGGGCTACTGTGGCAATTCCAAAGCTTTGGGCCTAAGGGGAGAAGCTTCCGACCCTTGGACACGTACGAAACAACTGGTACAGTATCTGCAATATGCCACGGAGGCCCTGGACATATTGCAAAAAATTTACGCAGGCAGAAACGCGAGATATGGCTACACCGTCCAGAAGAATAAGAAAAGAAACTTGACGTGGTGCCCATTAAAAGTAAGTATTGAAGGAACAAAGTGCTCAGTTGTCCCTTTTCAGCATCGGCATTACAATACTTACATTGAATACAACGTTGGCTTATTGTCTGACCTTTTACGTGCCCTGCATGCTTGTGCCACCTATATGCCCTGTTTAAGTGTGCCACCACCACCACCACCACCAGTGTGTATACACTACACCGCAGAAGGAGTCATGCAACCCGGTATGCTTTCCCCGGCCGAATCGTTTAATGCTGTACAGCTGTTAAAAAACTTTCCCATTTGAGTCTCTGGTTGTGAGCTTGAGGCACCTTGGCGTGGGTTCAGCTATTGCTTTGCAATACTTTACGCTGTCTTGTTGCTTTCCAGTAGCCTGGAGGGGTCTTTTTTCAGTAACCACGTACTTGAGCGAATACCAAAACTTTTTCCCCGGGGCTCCACATCGCTTGCCCCCCAGAAAAAACATTCGATTCGCAAACTCGCGTGCATAACTACTGGCCCGGGCGAGGCTGACCAAGCATTGCCGCTTCAGATAGGGCGCGAGGGTCTTGAGGCGCTTGGATTATCTGGTGGCCCCATGACGCGCGCGCCAGACGAGCAAAAGTAAACGCTACTGGAGGGGCGCGCTGACTAATGCCCCACAATCCCCATGGCTTTTTCTCTTAGCAACCATCTTGAAAAGGAACCATTTTTGACAAATGCTAGTTGGCTAGTAGTAACCGTATACATATAATACATATAAACATTAGGTTGAGCAATAATTCTGCTAACTTAGCATCGGTCGTCCACCGGTCCATCATTCCTTTTCTATCTACTCTGATAGCTCTCTGATGAGATAATCCAGAAAGAGACAGGTCATAACTCGTAGGCATCACTGGTGCGCCAACTCTGATGATTAGCTAGGCGCCCTTAACCCTGAATAACATGATTGGGATGCGTCAGCGGAACACATGGCAATGACTTCTGCATGTTACATTTGCACAGCACCGTCACAGCTGCTTAGCGCTTGCCACGGCCGACAACCTTGGGGGCCGCCTTTTGAGGGCCGGCAGCGGCCTTGGCAGCGGCGGCGCGCTCCGCCTTCTGCTTCTTCATGCGCTCCTGATTTGACCACGGGATAGGGATACACAGCGAGAAAATGACAGCCGAGTGAAGAGTTTTCAGTTTCTCTTCCACGACCTCGAATATCAGCACGCATTGGGTGACAGCCGCGGCACGGGACCCCCATTCACACGTTTCCCAGGGTCCGGGGGAAAACCTATCTACTGAATTGTCACAGTTGACGGAAGAAAAGCATCCTTGCCGCTCCTTTCCAAACCGCAATTACCAAATCTGATTTACAGCTCGACCCCAGGATACAGCAAAGTATCCTCGAATCCCCTAACAGTGAATACATGGTTTCCTTTGGAAATGTGTCCACAAAACAATGTAGGCACTTCCAGTATCGTTTTCCCATGACCAGGTCCCAATCAAATTGCTGCGTACCTTGACCTCACGGATGGCGGCCTCGCGGCTTGCCTGGCGGACCTCCGGCTTCTCCGTACGCTTCTTCTGGATAACCTCCAGAGAAGCGCCCACAATCGAGCGGTTAGCCGACTTGGCTACAGCACGGCGCTTCTTCTTCTGCACCTCGCTGACCTGTGAGGCCCAGGAATCCCAAGTTCAGATGACCTAGGTACTCGAAAATTGCAGATGCGTGGCTGAGAGCAGAGGGAGAGGCTGAACTTAAGGGGGGCACATCCTGAAAGAAAGAAACATCGTATGTTCTACGTTATTACTCCTTAAAGAATATTGCAGTGCTCATGGACCCCAAAAAAGCCACAACGGAAGGGAAAATGACACACCAAGAATTTCTATCATATCTGGTGCCGTTCATGGACTAAATTTCCCCAGCAACGTGGTGCTGAAGATACCGGATAGCAATCTGCAAGCCAGCGTCAGAGTATGATAGCAAGGTGGAGCCTGCGCTAAACCCCATAAAGCCCCATCATTGCATGCATAACGCATCAACAACCCTCCTGCGCGAGCCCACCACCCCCAAGTCCGCTTCCCCCCAACAAGCCGGGTGAGAGTCCAAGCGGCTTCCTTTGCTCCGCACCTGGTCCTTCTTGTGCTGTTTCCTGTACGTCACAGTCCATGCCAGCTTCGCAGGCCTGAGGCGGTTGTGGTAGTAAGACTTGCACTTCTTGTTCAGAAACATGTACTGCTGGCCATCCGTGCGGATGAACAGAAGTCCCTTGCCAGGATAAATCCTCAGGCCGCTAAAGCGGCACGTGTTCGTCTTCAGCACCATCCTTCTGCATAGGTCACGCAGGCGCAGAGAGGCTGATGTAATACGCCAAAGACGGCTCTCGTAGGAAGCAGAATGATCTGATACAGGAGACCGTCCCTATAAAAGTTGGCAGCTGCATCTTTACTCTTAGCGCGGGGAAGACTTAATAGTATCGGTTCAGACTCCTCGCGCTAGTAATGCCAATAATGTACCACCAGGTGCAAGCGTAAATCGATAAATGTATCATATAATGTTACAATAAACAGGCAGTTGCGCTTCCCGTGCTAAGAACGGTCAAGGCAGCCGCCAGGAAGAGGCCGCCTGGCTGGTGCATGCTACGAAGCGTGCTTTAGCGCCCTTGAAGGAAAAGAGAGCAGCTAGTTCCGCGTCGGACACTATGACCGGCAAAGACACGCTAAGCAACAGGAAGGCAAGTTGAATCTGATAGAACAACACTAAAGTCTGTAACCATTGCATAATTCTCACCTTGGCTGAAGAGAGGTGTGCCCTAAGGTAAAGAGAAAGACTCATGGAAGCTGCGTGCGTGGCAAAATGGGAATGCCCAAGGCTTCATGTACGTCAGGGTTTAGGAGCTACGGTCGGGGTTCAGGTTCCTTGCAACGTTTCCCTGAACAATAAGCTACAAACAGATTTTCGTAAAGTAAATTAACGCATTATTTATGCTGACTATTGCCAAGGACGCCTGTGCCCATCCTACCGATGGCAGTGCGCACTTTTACAAGTCCCTGGCTACCGCCATGCTGTAGGAGCAATATCGGTTTCCCATCGCGCATGTATGATACTCGGAAGCTTAAGCTCAGATATTGGATGGTTGCAAGGGCATGCTCGGCGAGCTGTGCTGAAACCATAAATCGAGAGTATAGCATCAATCGCTGGCGAATGCAAACATAGGGACGCCGTGGGTCCTTAGCTGACCGTAGGCCGGTTTTCGGGGTGAGGAAAGGCGTGAGAAAACTGCGTGTTTGCGCTCCGGACCAAACTGCAGCGGCATGTCTTGGGAGGGGAACGGTAGGGGTCTCCCGTACACTCGTGCTCGATAGTATCAGCAGAACGATTCGCCTATAATCCTTCCCAAACATTACGAAGTACCATTTCTCATGCGTTTCGGGCTATACTGCTATGCAACCTGCAACAAGCACAGCAGCGTGGCACCATGATTAAAGTGGCAACATCCAACGTTTACATTGCTGGTCGATTCGCAAATCTTCACACTGTTCCTGTCGCCAAGGCAATCGGATACAGCTTCCCCCCCCCCTAAAAACAGCATTGCAGTCCAAAATGCACACTTCGCGGACTTAACTTCACTCTTATCTAAGATTGCCGCATGTAGGAGTCCACCGAAACCCGCTACACAGCTTTCTGTCAGCAGGAGCGGAAAATGGTATTCCCCGCAGATAAGGCCCTTGGCCTTTCAGTAGGTTGAAAGCGCCGCGCATTCGTCGAAGCAGCGACTGCAAGCATCAGGCATCACGTGTAGGCCCATGCCTGACTCGCAGCTGCCTAGCCGGCAGCAGTCGTCAATACAAGAGTTCATGTACATAGGAGCACACCAACGTAAGTGCGCCTCAACCAATGATGATGTCAGCTGTTACCCCCTAATGTTACCCAGAGCACAACGACTGACACCACCAAACTACCGCCCGACGAAAAAGAATGTGCAGGTCCACGTACTAACCAGCCCAAGAAAACATTGTCTGGGGACCCGCCAGTCATGTGCAAAAGCGCCATGACCGAAGCACCTGTCCAAGTCTCTTAATACACGCGTAAGCACTCATCGACATGCACGCGCACGGTGCCACCGCCCACCTGCTAGCACCGCACATGCAGCACGCACACGGTGACGCCCACCAGAAAGCCCTTGCCACAGATCGCAATCCAAGTACGGATCCTGACTTGCAAATCACAACTCTTCCTCCAACAAGGGCGTGCAGGGATGCCCCCACGGCGCGCAATGGCACGCCGTCCACTCACCCATTCCACCCCCACGCCCATCTCACACACAGGGGCCGTCACCCGCTCACAGGAAGTAGTCAGGAACTGAGCGCTTCACCTCCGTTATTCCCGCGCCCTTCGGCGGCGCATGGTCGAACTGAATAATTTTGTGGTTCATGTTCTCGTCAATATCAACGATGGCTGCCTTATTCCCGCACCGGTAGCAGTAATTTGGCGCGCTGAAGACGGTCACAACCGCACCCTCGTGCTGCCACAAGAAGCCTTCCGAAACGAGCTGGTGCGCGCGAATGATGAACTTCAAGCCGTTCACGTGGTTGAAGTGCTCTGAAATGTCCTGCCCGTACGTGTAGCCAGCGCCGCGCGGCGATATGCCCCAGCCCATACGGTCGTCGGGGTCCGACCATAGAAGGTCGCACATAGGACCCTCGTGCGGAACCTCCTCAAAGCGATGTATTTGATTGATTTGGTCGAGCGTGTCCATCGACGGCGACAGGCCAGCGTGAGGGCAGAACAGTTGGTTCTCAATAACAGCGGCCAGCGGAAGATAATCGAATAAATCCGTTAGAACCTGCCAGACCTTGGCGCTGCCATATTTGCGAAGGCACTCCTCGTAGAAGCCGTAGACCTGGGTAATCTGGCGGCTCTCGTGGTTGCCACGGATCATAACAATGCGGCTGGGGTAGCGCACCTTTAACGCAATGACCGTGCACACCGTTTCTACAGAGTAATAACCGCGGTCGACGTAGTCTCCCAGAAACAGATAGTTTGCGTCCGGTGCCTGACCAGCAATCTTGAAAATCTCCATCAGGTCGTGGAACTGCCCATGCGTATCCCCCACAACCACCACTGGTGCTCGCACATGTGTAACGTTCTGCTCCTGCTGCAGCAACTCCTTGCACTTAGCCGCGAGCTCTACGACCTCCTCCTCTGCCAACACTTTGCACTCTCTGAGTTGCGCAATTTGGCCATCCCGCACAGCAGCTTCCTGCTGTGTAAGGATCATGTTCAACATGCCTGCAGACCCGCGTTTCCGAGGGTGCCTCACTAGAAGAATAACTCCGGCGACTGCTGTTCAAGACCAACAGAAACGAAGCGTTTTTCCTCGTCTGATGCCCTAGTCCGCACCTCAGCGCAGGCCAAAGCACTGTTCGATAGCTAGGTAGTCCTCACGGTTCCTGTATTGCCACGCTAGTCAGAGTTATAGAATTTTACTGCATTGGGAAAGGTTCCAGAATAAAAGAACAGACAGAACAAATCCTTTCAAGTACCAGATAAGGCAAAACTAAGATTATGTGTGCGAGCGTAGGAAACGTCACGGAATTTAGGATACGGCAAGAGTTCCCAGTTTTCCGCCAGCATCTTTCTTCCTTACTTACTTACAGCTTTCAAAAACTGTAAAGCTTTCTGGAGCATGCTTACGCGGAGTGGCATACTAGGGGCCGTCCTGACCCGGGGCCCTGTGACATGGGGTATAGTTCAATTCCTCAGCTCCAAGTCAACAAGTCCATCAGCAGAGAATGCAAGTTGCTAAACGGATTCAGCTGCGTTGAAGTCAATCCCCATAAAAAGTGACCAAGGCAGGGCTCCGTGAATGTTATTGTGCATATTATAGTCTTCCTTGCACGCAATGCGAAACCACCCAGCTGCAGATGGGATAGAGCTCGGCACATTGCACCTGCTGGGACAAAAGAGAAAAGGGAAGCGCAAGGCAGAGTCACGCCCTGCCGTCTTCCGTGCGCATACATTAGAAAAAAACTATGGCTCGCATTCCACTTCCGTTCCGCGTCCAAGGCATGCACCCTACACTCTACCTCACATTTGGAACCCGCTTTTGACTTTCCTTGCTCCGAAACCATTTCCTAATCGAAGAAGTTGAGGTTTCGAGGGTTTTTTCTACACCCTCCTTGAAAGAGATAGCACAGACCCCGGAGCTTAGGCCAGTATTCCACGTGACGCACCGGGAGCCCAACGTCTTTCTATGGGCCCTCCCCCGACATACATACATACATGCATACATACATACGTACGTACAAGGTCAGGCGCTATGGGTAAAGCACACACCAATGCCCCGGGAGTTCCGGGATCGAGACCTGTCAGGGTCGAAAAATCCTATTTAGTGGTTGAAGGAATAGGTGCCCCTAGTCGATGACCTGGGATAAACTTGATCTGCGAGCCGACCAGGAATGGAGTTGAACCGCCGTCGATCCGGCAGATTCCGTTGGATGCCGGTGGTGGGTTGCGATCCACTGAGAAGTTGACCCGGGTGATTAGATGAGAGTGGCCCGAAGTACCGGGGAAGGCAGGGTCTGCCTGGTAGCGGCCGCAGGCTGAAGGTAAAACCCCCCAGTCCCACACATCATACGTACATACATACGTACATACAGACTTCAGAGTTTACTAATGTGTTTACTGGGGGTTACTACACATACATCGCGAACCACAGACTGGTTACCGCTGCACGAAGCTACAGCAGGTGCCTCACTCACTCACTCACTCACTCACACACTCACTCACTCACCAGTTGGACCCTCACAAGGCGCCTCACTACTTTCCGTACACATATATGTAAGTCATATGTAATCAATATGCGCGTAACGAGTTGCAGTACAGGTTGGCCCCTTCCCAACCACATACACAGCACACGCTCCCCACAGTGTCATCATGATCGCCTGCAGCAGCCCACCCCGCACATCCACTCCACCGCAGCCACCTGATACCACTGCGACCGCCCTTGCTACTGCTGCCTCCTGCTACTACTGCCCTTGCTTCTACTGCCTCTACTGCTGCTGCTGGCCTGGTCCTCCACTGCTAACGACAGCCACATGAAGCTCGTGCAGCTGCTTGTCAGCCACCGGGGCGGGGGCACCTGTGTTTGTGTAGGTGTACATGTACGTGTACGGGCGGAGAGAGGGGCGGGGGAGCCGAAACATAACCACGGGGTTGGGGACCATGAGAGGCAACCGGCCGGGAAAGAGCTGTCAGGGTGAGCCCTAGGTCTCCGGGCGCCCAGTGCCTTGTGCCGCTAAGGCGGGGCAGCCGCTAGCAGGTCGCGTACCACCCCCTCCTTTCCTCTACCCCCCGCACCCATACAGGACTCCGGGACGCAATCGGGCTGCTGCGGCTGCCACCGCCCTGCCCGGTGGATCTACCTGGGCGAGTGGTCGGTCAGCCGCTGCATCACCGTGTCGTGTTTCACCGGGCCAGGAGGCCGCGGCCAGGACCTCCTCGCCCACCTCGCCTGAGCTTGTCGAGCTACTCGCGGTAATTGACAAAGCGACCAATACACGACCAGTTTACACGACTTCCTCATCACCACCACCACCACCACCACATCCCGAACAGGTCTGATAGGACTAGGTCTGTTTCCTAGGTACAGCACAGTCCTAGCCCAGCTACGGAGTGGTGGATACGGAAGATGTCGATACCTTCATTCAACTGAGGGGGTTTGGGGATCTGGAAATACCTAGGGCAGTTGCGGGCTTAGGGTTTTAAGGTTTCATCGGACATCGGCTGTCGAGGTGCTTTGGCCGTCGCAGCTAACATCCCTCCCCCCCCCGCCAACCAGGTCTTGCCTATCATCCCTCCCCCCACCTTTTCCTTCCTCGCATTCTCCCCGCCACCACCCCGCCTCACCGGTCAGTGCGCACTGCGCCTGGGCCGTCTTCGGGAAGGCGATCACGTCCCGGATGGAGGGGGCCCCCGCCAGCAACATGGCCAGGCGGTCCAGACCGAACGCCAGGCCCCCGTGAGGGGGGGCGCCGTACTCGAAGCAGTCCAGCAGGTAACCGAATTTGGACTGAGCCTCTGCGGGGTTCAGTCCTGAGGGGGCCGGGGGGGTCCAGTACTGGTTCAGAGCGCTGGCAGGATCAGATGCGGGCGGGGGAGGGAGAGAGAAAGCAGGGATAATGCAGGTCGCAGAAGAGCCAGCCGCCACCAATACCAGCAACAGCAGCCACCAGCCCTCTGTCATGCTTTGTCTACCAATAGCGGCCTCTTCCCCGGGCCTACACCAGCCCCCGGCCTCTTCCCCCCGGGCCTACACCAGCCCCCGGCCTCTTCCCTCCTGCTCGCCCCAGCCGTCGGACGTACACTTGCTCGCACACGGCGTCATCTCCACTCCACAACCCTGGCTGGGCCCGCCCTTCCCCAGGCCCCCGAGGCCCCCCCTTACCAATCAGCTCGAACACTTTCTGCTGGATGTCCCGGCGGTAGATACGCAAACTGCCGCCCCCAATCTGCGACACGTGGAGGTCGCACAAGGGGGACAAGTCGGGGTCCGGAATCAAGTGGTGGCGGTGGTGGTGAAGGGCAAAGAGGCAGCCGCCGACGTCCAGAGCCCCAAAGAGGTGGACGTCGTCCGAAATTGAGCAGACGGGTTCAAATCCCGCCCAAGGCAATAGAACGACATTGCAAGCCAGGCCGCACAAATTTCCCCCTTGGCTCACCCACACATTGGCAGAACGTGGTGTGCGAGTGGAGGGGGCTGTGTGCCGTCAGACCGGGGGCCCCCTCCCCTTCTCCCTCCTCGCGGCCCCCCCCCCCACCACCGGGCCCCCAGATAGACGTCACGGCCACGA